AGTACATTCAGTATTTTCCCAACAGAGGGTTTAGTTCACAACTGGAACTTTCAAAACGGCCATAAGGGCTACAAGAGACACAATTATAAACCTGTTTTGCTGTCATTGTATTCATACAAGAAAAGTTAAGTTAACACCAAAGACTGACTTAAAAGGAGTGAAGCCTGTATAGTTCAGGCAGTCCACTCTGGAACCATTGATACATATACAGTACATGTGACATGTATTGCCACCCAACCAAACATATTCTGTGAAATCTAGCGCTCTATTTAAAGGGGACCTATTATGCAAAATGCATACCCTCTCTCTTTTCCTCCGTACCCAAATCTCTAAAAACGGGGGAACAACGGAGCTGATCCAGATTTGCGTCCGATATGACGTAATATCAGAAATATGGACCCACAGCACTATCAGAAAGTTGCTATCAGAAACAATGCCCGACTGTTTTGGACGTAATAGGTCTTTGTTTACATTAGCTGGCATCGCTAATACCTGCTAACCTGTACTGGAGAGAGTATATGTCAAAAATTGCATAATAGGAGACCTTTAAGTTACAATATTTGCCATCTCTCCCACCACTATCATCACTGCTCAATGTAAAACATTATTCTATGAGTGATGAGTAGTTGCCAAACTCAAACTATACACTGCTGTGAATGAACATTTTATACGCGAGTTGTCTGACTGAACTGATTTTCAACACATGCATTTGTTTGTATGCCTGCATTCACACTAGGATGTTAATGCATTTTCTGTGTGGATACCAGCTTATAAATGCAAGTCCTGGAAAGAAGTACAAAGGAACATTGGGCTCCTTTCTGTCCTTGGTAAGATATGCATGAGTACAAAAAGAATAAGAAAGAAGCGGACTCGAGTGCCGATTTTCGGGACTCGACTTGGACTCGTGAATTCTCGCGCACGATGACTTGGACTCGGACTCGGACTCGTGAATGTTTCCCCCACGATGACTCGGACTCGACTTGTACATTGACGCTCCGACTTGGACTCGGACTCGAGCAAGTTTTCTCTTCAGTCTGATGTCCTCTATCCTGGCATGTGCACCTGCGAGGCGAGTTCACGTACTGGGCCCCGCTATTCCAGTCTAAACATGTCGAGGACACACCCCGCATCATGCTGTATGCTTTCACACATTCTGCTTCCACATTGGAAAAGAGCAGCGCAAAATGCTTGTTATGTTATGTGGAAACAAGATTGAAGAGAAGGCTCCGTAACACATTACTCTAAGGATCGAGTTCAGACATATAGGCTGTGTTGAACACTATCATCAGAGTAACTTGATCTAATGAATAAATAAAGATTCAGCCGATAACACGAAAGCACATGGCTACTTAGCATGCAGAATGACGTCCATTTTGGATGCTAAGTAGCAGGTGCTTTCTGGGGCTTAATCTTTCAGTAAACGATTTAACCGGTAAAAGTTCCTTCAAAATAAGAGTCCCCAAATCTTAATTACTAATCAAAATAAAAGTGAAAACGAAAACTTTACCATAAAGGGGGGGAAAAAAAAAAAAAAAAAAAAATATTGGCATACAAATATCAATCACTTCTTTAAAAGTAATCATTTTAAATATAGTTGGACTATTAAAGGTCATTACAATAATAATATTATATTAAAGTAATAAACTTTATTTGGTATAGCACCTATTACAAGAATTGTAAGCCAATCTCGCTTCAACAGTAGTTCAATAGATCAGATTAGTATAAATGACAGGATAAAAGCAATGTAGAGGAGCAGCTAAACATTTTCAACACATATATCGTGCAATGGTTAATCATGAAGTCGCTGTGACACTCCTTGGGTGTCTCTGACTTGGACTCGAACACAGGTAATGATGACTCGGACTCGACTCGGACACTCCTTGGGTGACTCGGACTCGGACTCGACTACGACTCTCCCTTGGTGACTCGGACTTGGACTCGGACTCGAAGAGTGGTGACTCGAAATTGACTTGGACTCGTGAATTGGTGACTTGACTATAACACTGGTGTCTTGCAAGAGATAGGGTTCGATGTCCTGTTCACCCCTCACTAGAGCAAATATTCTGATTAACACAATATTAACTTTGCTACAAAGTGTCCTGGAGTTTTTGATGTCCCTGAGATGCCCCTGAGTTCCCAAAGTTCAGCGTATTAGACTTGGCATGACAACATAAATAAAGCAGAGGAACATATTCCAACTTTTTTTGGGATAGGAATAGGATTCAAGCTCCAATCTTGATCCTACAAATCGAAATCAGTTGTGTTTTAATGATTCCCTCTCTCCCTTGCAAACACCTTCAGCACTCAAACGTAATCACACCTTGAGTTTGTAACACAGCCAATCCAATAACAGTGAGACCTCATGACATCATCAGGTTTCTTTTGTTTGACTTTAGAAAGGGCCTCCAGGACCAAGGAATACATTGTATACCTGTTTTCACTGGGAAATTAGTTCTCGTCATGATGAATAAACTGATATTTTTTCATAAAGTTTCCCTTTAATTACAACCAAAAATGTGATTAGAGAAGCAAACCTTTTATTGATGATCCTAAAAGAAACGTATCTTCTGCACACAAACCTCAGTGAAGTTTGTTATGGTAGAAGTGGCCCGCCCGGTTTTTGTTTCACAGGCTGGGGCATGTGAACATGAGGAAGGCCAAGGATGGAGGTCACTATGCTCACCTTTGACTGCGCTGATATACATTAATCTTTTTGGAAAATGGAGACACTACCAGCAGGCACCACACAAAAGAGCATTCTGAATGGTCTTTTCTTTCTGCAGATTAGTTGTATATTTACCATTCTTTGAATATATTTCAGAGAGAGAAAAAAATACATAGACATCATGGTGCTTTCCTTATGTAAATCAATATATATTAAACCATGAAAACATTTAGAATTAATTGTAGATTATACTATGAAAGCTCAATGCAAACTTTTGTACAGATGACCAGAAGGTGGCACCCTAAACTATATAAAGATGGAAAGGCTTGGAGGGCTCGGAAGTTGGACAAACTATGGAACTAACAAGTCAAAAGAAAGAAACACAAAGAAGGTGAACACATTCAATATTTAAATGACCTGATTGTTCTCCTTCCAAAATACTATTGTATCCAGTAAAATATATAAAATCAATTTAAGGTTTCCAGAAAATGATGTTAATACCGCTTGTACATTTATTAAAAATAAACTTGCTTCTAGATCAGTTCAGATGACTTCTCTCTTTGAGGCACATGACAGAAAGTAGCAGTGATATGCCCTTCAGCCTAGTACTAGGCACATTGTCTGTATAATTTGGATCCTTTACATGGAACCTTGTACGAACATATGCAGATAAGACAGATTTAGACATACAGTTAAGCACAAACATAGTAGATTAAATAAAAAAACTTCTTTGGTGTTTCACAAGCCCCATAAAATGTTGAAATGTTCAGTACACCACACAGCTGTTGCTGCTTAGAAAAACTCATGATCTTACACTCCTATCAGAAGAGAGGCTGGAAATGGAGAGTTTTCCCTGAGGGTGACGCTAAAGAAAAGGCTGTGGAGAATCACAAGGATCTGTCTCCATGGCAGCGTCAATGTGACCTGTACATTTCACAGCAATAGGACCATTATATACAGTATTTAGGCATGAGGGTGGTGCAAGAGGGTAGCTCTTGAAGAAGCTGATCCTCTAGATTACAAACAATTATCTTGATGACTCCTTACATCAAATAACTGCATGACTAGTTATTGCCTCTGTTTGGAAGTGAGCAATTTGATCAAATTAATTCAGACTTTAATTATTATATTTTTAAAATCCACTTATTCAAAAGCAAAAATAAAAATCAAATGAACATAATTTAGTGCCACAAAGACACATAGTTTTTCATTCTCACATCTTTACATGGGCACCAAGTTCAACACATTAAGACTAGTTTAAAATAGTGTTATGTGGGTGTTTACCAGTAAGGGAAGGGACCATGACACATAATCTGTTCCTTAGCCTTCAATATCTCTTGTTGAATGACATCTTGGCCTGCTGGTGGTGTAAATATTTAAAGGTCAGGGTTTCTCCAAAAACAATATTAATCATCATCTGGTGGTCATTGTCCACACCGAATATAGTGTAAATATTATCATTCATGTAGAGGTTATTTATTATCTTGTTTTCTTTTTCAAAGCACGTTGTTATGGACCAGAGTGGGGATGAACTTCATTTTCCACTCCAAACAAAGAGGTCAGAGGTCACACAAAATCATTAGGACTCCTGGGGACCGTGAATACCCCTGTTAAAATGTCATGGCAATGTGGTCAACAGTTGCTCAGATAATTGGACCAAAGTGTTGGATGGATGACTGACCAAGCGATAGGAGGGCAGAAGCATCCCCAAGTTGAACCATATTACCAGCATGCCCCTCATTATCCCAGCTGGAGGGGAGTCTGATAGCCGCAGCGGGATTCCTTCAGATGATTAGTGTATGGTACACTGCTCTGTGATCTTGTCCTTTTACATAATGTTTCAATCAAACCGGCCATGGGGCTCTGTTGCTGGTAACTGGTCCATGCTCTGATGGGCCCTTGGCCTGTATCCAAATCTGCTAATACAGTCCAGTGTTGTCCCTCTGTAGACCTCCCACACAGACAGTGGCCCCTGTGTTATAGTACCTTATCATCCAAACATGTGGGCTGCCTTCTACTGTATTGGTAATACTGGAACAATGAGTGGGTTTAAATCAAGGGATGTGATGTGAAACTGACCTCAGTGGCTACTTCTGTCCTCAACCAACCCTTTATAGTGTTTGTGTTTTCACAGTTGGGCTGGCCCAATGATCACTGCAGATGTCTAGATAACTGCGCCAATAAACGGACCCAGAGCATGTCAGCCTTCTGTCATTACCACGTCCCTTCAGGAATTTGTTTAATTGACAACATGACAAGGAAAGTATAGGCTATACCTCTCATGTCTCTCTCCAATGTTGGTGAAAGCAAGTTTTCAGCTCGCCCCCTCTCAACCCCGCCCCACGTTTCTCCAACTTTCTTTAGTGGAGTTCTCGCGCCACTCACTCTCCACTAACCTGACTTGGACAAACCACAGGACTTAACTGCTCCTGAAACAAGGAACCATGGGTTGGCAGGAGCAAAGATGGTTCGTCTATGCGAGTTTTCTCGGACTTGTTGCGACGGTGGAGAGCGTAACGCGGGGAGAGTTTTTTCATCACGGCACGAGCGCAAGGGACCAGTTACTGGAAGCGGGGAATGACAAGACGCACCTACTTCCACTGGACAAGCCAGTTTTGTTTTATGATGGCATTTTCGACAGCATTTTTGTAAGTTACTCATAAATGGATACACTAGCATTGTCATTTTACTACAAACACGTAGGATTAATTGGTCAGGGTGGATTGTCCAACGATCTCGCGCAATTGCGCACACCCTAACAGTTATACGGAAAAAAGGTAGTAACATCCTAAAACAATTCCTGGAAGTTGCAAAGTATATCTGGGGCAGAGTATGCTCTGGGTTTTTATAAATGTTGATTGACTAATCTCAATGGCTGCTAAATCTCGTGGAATGCATGTGTCTACACATTCTTGCAGTTTTCCCTAAACTCATAATTGTATTGTTGACATAAAGTACTTATTTTGTAATCTAACCCCAAAACATATACTGATGAGTCTATGTTCTATAACTGAGGTCAGTAAGGGATGCTTTTTTATTAACTGAATAAATGTTTTAAATGTTTAGATCCTTAAATATCAAGATAGCAGACTGTGAGGAAACTGTAAGATAATTCATTTGGAAAGGTAGTAGGCTACTAACATAACAACATTGTTAGACTTTGTGTCTTTACTGTTTGCATTACCCTGTGATGCTTTTAAATAACGCTTAAAATAGCTAGATTTAGCTGAAAGCTGCACCATTGTATTGAACTGACAAACAGCCCTTTATTCCCCGTGATTCTCCTGCTGTATCTTTGTTTTAATTGTGCGGCTAGCAGATATCTGCCATCAGAGAGTAATTATATACAAAAGGTGGTAGCTTTTTGTTACCACCTTTTTTTTTTTAAGTGGAAGATCTATTAGAGGAGGTGTGCAGAGGCAAACAAAGTTGTGGTTAACACATTAACCTGTGTTAGGAGTAAATATTAAATTCCTTTTTGCACCTATGAGTCCGGGGGGTTTCCTTGCTGCAAGTTATCCCTACATCACTCACCACAAACATATTTCTCTACTGCAGTCAGGATGCCCCGAAGATTTTAGTTTTGAACGAGACAGTCAACCCTGAACTGTCTGTGCCCTGCAGGAGAACAGTAATGCGTTTCACAAGGTTATAGAAAAAAACATTCTTCTAATCATTAGGAGGTCTCCTCCTTAGTGTGATTCATAACCTACAAAGCCCTTTACTAACCTTACGGTTACGGATCTCTCTCTTCGCTACATCTGCAAGATCAGACTTACTGATCACTTTCCCAGCTCTATCTCACATTTTGACAGGAAGTTTCTGTAATGAAGATTAGTGCGCAATCTTTGTGCTCTCTGGGGCTGCTCGACAGGGGCAAGGACAGGAAACTGTGTGGCTCGAGCCAGGAATAGTGCTCTTGTTTTCCCCGGGTCAGGAAGTGAAGCAGCCTCATGTGCAAAGTCTGTGTGTGTGTTTTTGACATTTTAGAATTTATTTTACAAGCCCTGCATGTGTTCATGTTAAACCCCTAGTGTGTGAAACCTGTGTTAAATGGCATTTTGTTTGTGCATTATTGTAGGACATGGCAGCTGACTCGGATCATTAGTCTAATGAGTGTGGAATAAAGATCAAAGTGGGTCAGACTGGACTGGCTTAACCTCTGCTGTTACAGTTCTTCATGTGTTATCATAATGACTAAAAAAATAAAAACAGCCATATGGTGTACTGTAACATGCATCTAATTTCTTGTTAACCCCATTACCAACTCAAGCTTTTGATTTCAGATCAACACCAATGGTTTTGTTGCCACAGCAGAGCCAACAGGGGAGTCGACATATCTTGGCAAAATGCCCCCAACATTCGGCACGATTGCAGCTCTGCTCGGAGACCTTGACACAAGTGATGGTGTGGGGAAGGTTTACTTCCGCCAAGACTCCAGTCCTGATGTACTGACCAGAGCAGCCCAATACATCAACGGAGCCTTCCCTGAGGATGATGAAGTCCGGCCCACCAATGCTGTGGTCGTCACCTGGGTCAATGTCGCCACCCATGAACCTCCAAGCAGAGGAGATGGCATTGAGAAGAGGGTGAGCATCACATGGATATTTAAGTGTTTGATCTATGTGGTTTAAATTGTCATTTACATTTTCTTAAACATTTTTTATTACACAGAGAAACACCTTCCAGCTGGTTATTGCATCCCTGGAAACGGCATCGTACGCTATCATCCTCTATGCAAGGGATGGGATGCCGATTCTGTCCACGCCTGTACAAGGCAGCAGTGTGGTCATGCATGCTGGTTTCAATAAGGGTTTGGTCCGGGGTTTTGTGTTTTCCAGTCAGGGGCCATACTATCGCACCACCACTGATGATGAAGCATCCATTCGCGCTTTAGCAGAGTAAGTCAACCAAATGCTGCCAGCAAAGTAATTACCATTTTCTGGTGTCTTGATGGCAATGACCCAACTGATTACTAGTTCACTAAGTAGTCACTTGATGTATTTGTTTACTACATTTTTTCTAAGGGCCTACATCTCGACAAGCTTCCCCTCTGGGCCAATAAAGTTGAAGTTGTAAAAGTCTGTTTTCACCTTTTTATAGAGACACCAACTCTGGCCTGCGGGGTGTATGGGTGTATGAGATTGGAACTTCTCCCTATTTTACCAACGTGGCTCCAGGTGAGGTCAATGACCTGCCCGTCGAAGCTGCTCCACAGGGGCCCTCTGAGGCCGATCATGCAAGGAGGACTGTGTATACTAATGGACAGCCAGAGCAGGACCGAAAAGGGGGGCAGATCGAAGTCCACCCAGTTCAGTACCAGCCACTTCAGCCTGGCAACCCAGAAGTCTTAGTGGTGGACGACACGGATATAAATGTAGATGGTGGGTCAAAAGGAGAAGAACTCAAATGCTTCTTTCATTGGTGTATAATTATTTTATCAATTATCTGTTCTTTGTTTATTTTTATCAATCTTTTTTATGTTTTCAGTGTTCTCATACGCCCTGGGCACATGTGCGAACAGTAGAAATAAGTGTTCCCAGTTTTCTGACTGCAAAGACTACTCGGGTGGATACTGTTGCAACTGCAGACCTGGCTTCTATGGCAATGGGCTAGAATGTGTGGCAGAGGGTAAGACTACGGCCAAATTTCATTTTGATAAAAGATTCAAACAGTGCGTTCTTTTTGTAAGCTACTACTGCTTCAAGGAAATGGAGAGGATAACACATTTGTTTTAGCCTGAAGCTCATGAACATGCCTAACTTACAAGAAAAATGTGATTATTGTGGCTGTTCGTCCATTACGCTACTCTTGAAATTATTTGTTAAAATCTATGTGTTCAGCTCGTGTGGTTGTTTGCTCCTTTCTGGGACCAACTTTGAAGGTTTTGGTTTGTTTTTGCAGGAAAGCCACAGAGGATGAATGGTAAAGTGCATGGAAAAGTGCATGTGGGCAACTCTCCTTCCCCAGTGGAGTTCACCAGCAATGATCTCCACTCCTACGTTGTGGTAAATGACGGCCGTTCTTATGTGGCCATCAGTGACATCCCTAGCACCATTGGGCCCTCTCTACAGCCCCTGTCGGCCCTTGGTGGAGTCATTGGGTGGGCATTTGCTCTGGAGCAGCCTGGCTTTAGGAATGGCTTCAGTATCATAGGTGAAGTACCTGTTTCTACAACTGCTTTAACAATATGTGATAATGTGACAACTTCAAGCTTTTCGTGTGATTCTCTCACTTGGTTAGAAAATGAGGACATTTCTGTAAACAAATGTCTGCGCTGTTACAAGCAACTTGCCATACAGCTGCATTTTCACTCATTCTGTCCAGCTGAATTCCCCTCACATTACTTCAGCCGAGTCAGAAGGCAGTGAGCCAAATTTCATCCAGGGCCAGGTTCTTAAAGTTAACCTCTTCTCTGTCCTCTGTAGGGGGGAAGTTTGTACGGCAGGCTGAGGTGACCTTTCTGCCAGGGAATGAGAAGTTGACCATCAGGCAGGAGTTCAAAGGCATCGATGAGCACGACCACCTGGCAGTGAGCACCACCCTGGAGGGCCGGGTCCCTGAGGTGCCTCGTGGCGCCACCGTGCAGATCGACCCTTACTCTGAGATCTACCAGTACGGCAACAACTGTGAGGAACAGCTTAAACAGAGACTCACTTTGTTCTTGTGAAGATGTCACTGCCTTGTTTCTCCTGTTTTTCTCAAATGGCCAAATCTCTTTATTTATCAGAAATAACAATTGTTCTGCTTTTGTAACTATAGCTTAACCAATAAAGGTAATGTTTTGAAGTGGGGTTATGTTGGGTATTTATAAATATTCATTGTATTAACTAAAGCAGATGGTGAGCAGCTTGCTCTCTCTTTGAGAAGATACTGGAGTATGGGGACTGCTGTGGATAGGGGGAAGCAGCAAAACTTATTTCAGCCACTTAAAAACAAGTCCCACCTAAAATAATCAGTATCATTTTAAGTGTACACTGAATTAAGAATATTTTCACTGCTTTACCTTCCCTCCAGGCATTCCTTTTATTGTTACACTAAAGCTATTATCAATGCTCTCTTCAAAGTCCCCGGAAATAGTCATTTAGCTTTCTAGAACATTGAAGTTGCTGGTAAACTGCAGCCTCAATCAGTGTTATAATGTAATTCTGGTTAGTTTGGATTCACCAAGGTCACACAATAACAAAACAAAAAACGGGGGTTGAGAATATTTGTATTATAATAATTTGTCCCTTTCTGCCCCTTTCCTCAGAAGTACATTATTAGGCTTCTGTTGCTCCAAGCTGGGGGTATGCTGGGTACTTCACAACCCCCACTTCAAACAATCCAAACTATCCCTTTTAAAGAAGACTAAGAAATAATTTACAAATGTCTTGCTTATCCTGCCTTCCAGTGATCACTTCATCCTCCACCCGGGACTACGTAGTGAGCTTGCCCGATGGCTCCACTGAAACCAGGTCCTACCAGTGGCGTCAGACCATCACCTTCCAGAGCTGCCAGTATGGAGAGTCTTTGAGAGACATGAAACCCACTCAGATGCTCAGCGTGGACCAAGTCTTTGTCTTGTACGATGCTAATAACGAACTCATCCGGTTCGCCATGAGCAACAAGATCGGTGATATCAATGGTGAGGTCATGGGGATTATTTTTGTCTTCCTGTTTTAGTCCGCGCACACTTCCTTCCTGGAGTACAACATCCTCCACTTCTACTAAAAGTTATGGCTATTTCTGAATGGTGAAATCAGTGTTATTCTTCTCATGTAATCACATGTATTAATATAATAGTGGTAACATTGTCCTAAATAAGACTGTTTCACTCTCAGGAGGGGATCCAGAGGAGAACCCGTGTTTCACTGGAAGACACGGCTGTGACACCAACGCTGTGTGTCGGCCAGGACAAGAAACTCAGTTCACTTGCCAGTGTGCGACTGGCTTCAACGGGGATGGCCGCACATGCTATGGTAAGAATAATATGTGATTTAACTCAAAAAGTTTCCAATGTGTGTGGCAATAAAGATTTTCATCACTCATGAATGTTCTGCTTTCAAGTAAATCAAACAGTTTCCACATCTGTTTAGAGCCTTCATTTAATTAACCCAGACATTATAAAGCCTTCCTTCCGGGGGAACTGGGCAATCTTACCAATTAGCAGAGGGGTCCCACATGGTAAACAAAGTCTCACATACTCCCGGACCAGGTTGACATATAAACTGTGGTCCTCATCCCTAGTCCATTCTCTATACAACCTTGAGACTCTTGTATTCGATACCAGACAGGAAGAACTCTGAGGCACATACAGTAGAGAGAGGAAGGAAGTAACTCAGACAGATGCTATCTTGAAACGTGTGTAATTAAGAAACCTAATCAAGCTCTCTTCTCTGATCTCCATCTGATAATGAAGGACACTGATTTGACAAATCCAGACTTCAGAGCCTCAAAGTTAAACATGGACTTAATGTGGCAGCTATTAGCATATGATAATCGACTCTTCTCTTTATCAGACATTGATGAGTGCAGAGACAATCCTCAGATCTGTGGCTCCCACGCTATCTGCAACAACCAGCCCGGGACCTTCCGCTGTGAATGTGAAGATGGTTATCAGTTTGCCAATGATGGGCAGACCTGCATTGGTAAGTCTTCCCAAGTACACTTAGATATTCCAGAAATCTAATGTTGTAGTTGGGATTAACAGGTTCAGGCATGAATTGTAATAAATTGAACTAAGATATCAGGGTGAGCTAGATAAAACAAACTTACTATACATAAATACCACTAATGCATTTTACTGATTGGTGCAGTAGCATAATATAATTTATTATATAATTTAATCTAGATAAAGTTATTCCGAATCCACCCAACAAACAACACATTGTAGGCTCCGCTGTATTCTAAAGCTACCGAGTTGCTCACTTAATTATCAACATATTGTCAAAATTGTCATCAAGTTTGGCCATATAGTCCAGCCAAGCCTAGTTTATATTGCGTTTTTGGTTGAAGATGATTAAGCTACGGCCAGTTAGCTCAGCTTGGCCTAAAGAATAGAAAAAGCGCTAACGGGTAACCTGGCTCAGTCCAAAGGTAACACATTTGCCTTCCAGCACCTCTAAAACGCAATAATTCACGTCTTGCTTGTTTATTCCAAATAAATGTTTTTTCCCCTTTGTTTCCAGTCATCATGTTATGCTAAACTAGATTGCTGCTGGTTGCAGCGGCAGCATATAACGGATATCGAGAGCAGTATCAATCTTCTGATTGAACTCTCTTACTCTCATCCCCCCAACATTTAATCAACAGTACATTTTCTTCGTCCTCAGGGGTTGATCGACCTAGGGACGCCTGTGACGAAGGCACCCACACCTGTGACATCCCTGAGCGTGCTCAGTGCAGCTACACTGGAGGCTCGTCCTACATCTGCTCCTGCCTCCCAGGGTTCATTGGAGATGGCAAAGTCTGCCAAGGTACGAATAGAGACGCTGTCTATATGCTTTTGCTGAAGAATGATCACAGGAATTAACTGCTTTCAGTTTGTAGGTCAACTCATTCAAAGGTTACATAATAAACAACACTGAGTTGTTTTTGCCTCTAATTCTAACACAGTAAAACACAGTGCTCATAGTATATCAAAACTTATTAATTTTAGAATGTAGCTAGAGCGTTTACTACCATAACATTAGATTATTGGACTGAAATGTATCTGTCAGGGTGCGGGAAAAATAGGACCCAAATGCAGAATGAGGAGGAAGCTGTTTTCAAAAAGGAAACAAAAAGGCGAGCTTTATTCAACAAAAGCTGAACAAAAACAAGAATCCAAAACAGGTACCAGGTAGCATCCAATACTAAGGTGACAATGACCAACATGAAGGGGAACAGGAATGACAAAATAATGCACCAACACTGAACACAGGAAGAGACTAGACTAAATACAGAGAGGGATAATCACAAGACGAGAAACAGCCGGGCAGGGGAGGAGAAACACAAGGGCCACAGGTGAACACAATCGGGTAATCAGGGAGGGAAAACAGACAGCAAGCAACAGGCAAGACAGGAGGTGAACACTTTACAAAATAAAACAGGAAACCAAAGACAGAAAAAGACAAGACAAAACACAACACAGACAGATCGTGACAGTATCAATGGTTTTGCATACTTTAACTGACAAGTAATTAATTATTGTAACCATTTAAGCTATGCAGGTTTAAGATTGCATCACATTACTAATTGGTTGATGTTATGATATTCAAATTTGAATCATTTAAATGTACATGTTGTCATTTAATTACTAACAAAATCTGATTAAACTTTAACGTTTTATTATGCTCACTCCAACTTTAAACATGTTGGTGTCTGCAAGGATAATGTCAAATCTGAGATGAGATTGTTTGCTGCAAAAAAGCATTCATGAGTGATGATGTCACAGAGTCATCTTAGAGGAAGGAAAAACACAAGCTGACAAGGATATTGTGTAAGCAAGGGATGTGATTTTAGCAGTAATTGGCAGTAGTGTGAAGTATTTCTAGTCAACTGGCTAAATTGAAAATCAACACAAGGGGCCTGTTGCACAAGAAGTACATGTTTGAAATCCATTACATGGGCTTTACGGCTGTAATTGTTAGACCATCTGCTTAGGACGGGGGAGGTGAGATTGCTTACAAAGTACATGTGCAGCGATTGAGCAGTGAAACATAAAAAGCAGATGGAGATCCTGAGTCCGCCTGTAGTTTTGTTTGGCTGGCATTCAGTAATAGTTTCCATTCTTTCCATGCTTTAGCTTGATGTTGTTGCTGACCCAGATCATGCTGGAGATCCCTGACCATAAAAGGACGCGACAAATCAGACATGCGGAAAATATTTTAGCCTCTACGGTTGATTCTTCTCTCTCTTTCTCTCTCTACTCACCCTCTTCTCTTCTCTTCTTCCTAAAGACATAGATGAGTGCCAGTCTGGCAAGTGCCATCAAGACGCTGTGTGTTATAACACCGAAGGATCATTTACCTGCCAGTGCAGGCCGGGTTACTATGGCGACGGCTTCTACTGCTCCCAAGGTAAGTTTTATGGAATGCCACTTCACTTTTTGACAGGCAGACCCGACATCTATTTACACATTGCAGCGTTGTCACGGGACTTGTATTCTGTCCACTATTTAGAAAATGTGTCATGGGAGTTTGAACTTTTTTGTTAGTTTTTCTTTATTCAGTTGCAGACTCAATAATAGAGGATCATTTTCATTCTCTGCATTGTTTAACCCTCCCATTTGGGCAAGAGTTGTGTTCGGAAATGAACTCCTCGCCAAGCATATTGGTGCCAGCTGGCTGGGACCTGGTTTTCATTTTCGTAATGTATTACAAGGGATTTGTGTTGCTGAATTTAAAACGGGGGACAAAATCAGAAATGAATGAGCTCATGTAGAAGTCTTTGGCATTGTTGTAGGGCATTCACTTCGGCGCTTATTTTCTTATTTTCCTCTACAGAGAAGACAAAAACACAATGTGAGACCCACAGAGACAGTCTGCTGGGTTCCACTGAGTTTGGTCCACGGGGCCCCCGACCTTCCGTTGGACAGTACATCCCTTCCTGCGACGAGAACGGTTCCTATGAACCCATGCAGTGCCACGGCAGCACGGGATACTGCTGGTGTGTGGAGCGAAGCGGGCAGGAGGTCCTCGGGACTCGCTCTGGGCCAGGAAGCAGACCAATGTGTGAGTAAATCTCATGCCTTTAACCAAAGTGTCTCCCAATAAAATGTATAAAAACAACAAGACCTATATTCTATATTTTGCTCACAAATATTCCCTAACGATTATCAGCATTTTAATAGAGGTAACAGTCTCATTTGTTCACTGTCAGGGCTGTTTTATCTGCAAGAAACTAATGTTTTTATTCACATTTTTACCTAACACTCTAATTTAAAAATAATGGTGGTAAAAACAATTAGCCAACAACTAGTGGCAGAGATTTACACATTAACTTTTAAAAGACCAAACATGCATAATTTATAAGGAGCTTTAAACAAGCTCTACAAAAATATACTGATAAATGGAAGAGGGTTTTGTTTATCAGGAGACTTTCTGTTGCTAAACTGACTTGAGATAAGTTCCCCGTCTACAGGACCTCTGATTTCCAGTGTTTTTCTCTGATAGGCATCGACCACAGTGGTGTGCACCCACCTGTTGGACCCACCCCTCGACCTGATGTCCACCCTCTGCCTCCAGGGACACACCTGTTGTATGCCCAGAGCGGCAGGATCGAGCACGTCCCGCTGGAAGGTTATGAAATTAAAAAGGACGCTGGCAAGGCTCTCCTCCACCTCCCTGTAAGTTTCTCCAAATAAACTCTTACAGAGAGCATGATTCCAAAGAAATGTTAGTGATGAAATTATATGGTTTGACAGGTCTACAATCAGTTTTACCTACACTAATCTGAGACATTTCTGGAGGCTTTTCTGTTTATGAAATGATCTTTGGGGAATGTGTCTTATCCCCCATCATGAAATGTAATATCTTGCTGGCTTAATGGCTGTCCATGACAGGGAAATGCTGAAATAAGCCTAGAAGTAAACTTCCTCAATAAAGACGTGAACTTAGCAGGGCAGAAAAAGTTCATCTTAGGCACAATGTCCAACTGAATTTTCTGTGTGATCATTCATATAATACTAGGAAAAAAAAGCTGAAGTATGTTTGGACTTCTCATTTGTGTAACACCAGCTCAGCCTTGTATTCATACTGCTCCCTTGCTGGTAATAACAGTTGCTTTCAAGCACTAGCCATTTCCCCATCTGCTTCAAGCATTCAATGCTCACACTTTATTGGAGGCACATGGTGACATTCACACTAATTACTACCATCGGTCTGACATCTTTGGAATACGCTGATTTCCAAAGCAGCTGGACTGGAGTTGCTCAAGCTCAGTGTGGGGCTCTGTTTGTTTGGATTAATGTCTAGACGTTAATGTCTAAAAACACACATCTGCTCCGTGTTTTTATCTCCGACCACTCTTGTTTGAACAAAAGTGCACTTCAATGATTGTTGGTTGCTGACCCCTCCACAGGAGAAGGTAATCATTGGTGTGGCCTATGACTGTGTGGAGAAAATGGTCTACTGGACTGAAATCACATCTCCCTCCATCAGCAAGGCCAGCATCCAGGCGGGAGAGCCCACTGCGGTCATTACATCAGGTAACTGTTATACTTCACGCTTTCATTCATCCATTTTGTGTATCACAGCACTGTATTGTTTAACAAAACAACTGATATATCCTCCCAACAGATCTGGACAGCCCAGAGGGGATCGCCATCGACCACTTGAGCCGGACTATGTTCTGGACAGACTCTGTGAAGGACCACATCGAGGTGGCCTCTCTGGACGGGTCTCAGCGTCGCGTCATTATAGACACTGATCTGGTCAACCCTCGGGCTATTGTAACAGACCCTCCCAATGGGTGCGTATTGTTTCACATAACAACATTTACGCTTTACTAGTTTGTTTCTTTGACATACTGCTAGAGAAATACACATTGCTAAGGAACTGTTAATATGATGTATACGTTCTGATTTGTTAATTTAAAGGAATACACTTTTTTAAACGGCACTTATTTTCACAGATCCAAAAATCTAGATATAGTATTTAGTGAGCTTAAGACGTGCTGGTAAAGGGCTTTTTTTTCATTTTAAATAGAGCATTGCTTCTGGTTCTCATTCTAAACTAAGCTAAACAGCTGTTGGTTGTAGTCTTATATTGAAAGGACAGATAAATTAGCGGTTTTGTTCTTCACATCTAACTCCAGATTAGAAATAATGTCTCTGAAAATGTTAAACAATGTTTAAATCTTTGTAAATTCATATTAGGATAGCCATAATAGTTGGAGTGAATATTAACACATTAATCAAACATTATAATTTCTTGATACTCATCGAGTGCTAGCTCTATCTAAAAGATCTGATCCTAAAACCTGTTGAGTTTGAGAGTGAACTGACTCCACACCTGTCCTTACAGAAATCTGTACTGGGCAGACTGGAACCGCGAAGCCCCAAAGATCGAAACCTCTCACATGGATGGATCCAACCGAAGGGTTCTGGTTAAAGACGACCTCAGCCTGCCCAACGGCTTGACTTACGACTCTCAGAGCTCGCTGCTTTGTTGGGCAGATGCAGGTAATGTAGATTTCAGACAGATGACTCACCTGAAATGATGTCTGCCTTGTGATCATCAGTTCATTTAATTCATATAATCTCTCACCTGCAGGCACACACAAACTGGAGTGCACGCATCCCAGCCACGGTGACCGCAGAAAGGTTATAGAGGGGCTTCAGTACCCTTTCGGAATCACGTCTTTTGGGAAGAACATCTACTACACTGACTGGCGGAGGTTTGACTTTTTCTATTTTTGAGCTTCCTTTCTTATTAAAACATTTAGTATGTAAGCAGTTGTGGAAGAAGAACTTGGATGGTTTACTTCCTGCATTCAAAATGTACTCAAGAAAAGATACAATAGCATCAAGTTGTTCAATAATGAAGTTCCTTTACACATTCTTTGGTGATTATAATTAGTATCATTCATCTCAAATGTATTTATCTCAACTGAAGTTGTAAAATAAATGGTGTTGAAGCAGTTATTTTATACCTTAATATTATTTGTATAGTTTCAAATTGTAGTTTAGAGCATTGATGTCATAATGCAGCCTTTGTGCAATGTAAGAACGCAGATCTGTTGAAGAAGGACAGGGTGGGTCAGAGGTCAAAAAGCTCCCCACACTTCAAGCACTGGCCCTTGATGTTCTTCCAGACCGATGTGAAGACTGTGGGGCTTTTTTCCCATGTAGCTGATTCTGTATGTTAGCTGTTGTAAAAAATGCGGGGGTTGGGGTGTCTATTTTGTTAGTGTGTGTATGTGGGGTGAGGAAGCATCCTAAAAAGTGGCAGCTGCTTGCAATTTCTCAGCCTCTACCAGTGACCTGCCCAGGGCCTCCCTCTGATCTTGCCAGGGCTGTAGCCTAGCTGGAGAAGGTCGAGGAGGGGGGCGCAAATACACACACACACATAGAGAAAACTATGTCAGTTATGTCTGAGAAGGCTACCCTAACCCTTACTCATTCTTGACAGACTTTTATACAAAACACAGTGAGGCAGGATGCGAATATTACTCAATCTGGGATAGTCGTTGCTTAACTCTGGTTGTGGTTTCAACAGGGATGCCGTGGTCGCCGTGGACCGCCATGCTGGCAAGGAGTCTGACATGTACCAGCCTCAAAAGAAGACGAAGATATATGGGATCGCCACAGCCTACGCCCAGTGTCCGGCAGGTAAAGACACCAGAGATCAGTGGTGGATGACCTATTCAGATCATGCTTAAGCAAAAGTAGAAAATACACCAATGACAAATAAAAGTTCTCAATTGAAATGTTACAAACGTAAAAAGTACGCAAGTATTATCAGCAACATGTACTTCAATCAATAATGAATATACCTACGTTTGTTTAAATATGAATACATGTAAGAGCATTTGAATTTTGAAGTTCATCAAGGTGGAGATCTTTTTCAAAATACTTTGTATACTACTGGGATTAAATGTAGTAAAGTACTATCAAAGAAATGTAAAAAGTATAAGATTTCCCTTTCCCATTTCTTTTGATTGTAGTATAGTATAAAGTAATACATTAAGTAGCATAGAATAGTAAAACTGAGGAAAGCACAAGTATGTCAAAGTTGCACTAGAGTATACTAACTGAGTCTCCACTGTTTTGGAGCGTACAACAGGGCCATACATACATCCTCATGAATTATTTAGTTTAAAAAAACTATTGACTTTTTAATTTTTTTACCTAGAGTTTGGGGTGAAAAAACTCCCACTCACTCTGAATAACTGTTCCTAGAAATAACTTGACCCTTGTACATTTGGGGGCTACCTTTTGAGTCATGGTTATTATCCATTGCCTTCACTCTTCAGGACACATCATCACAGTTGTGTGACCTTTGTGCCCTCTGTAAAGAACTCTGAACATGAGTTCTCAGCAGGTTCTTAAAGCAGCAGGAGGGTTTCTGCAGCTAGTACTCATCATTAAGTGAAGGGATGACATCACGGTGCAGCACCAGGTCTCACCCGCTATACTAGATAAGGCTGCATGCATACAGCCAGGGAATGTGGAGTGAAGGGAGAGGGGCCTCAAACATCTGGAGTTTGCGTTGTGTTTCCTTTAAGTGTGTGTATATGTGTTCAACAAACAGTGAGGAGACTGTTTCCTGCTATGGAGGCGTATGATTTATACGATTGCCCTGGAATGTCCCGCATTAATAAGAGTTTGTATATATTTTCCTTCCGCCAGGACAAAACTACTGTGCTGTGAACAACGGGGGCTGCACTCACCTCTGCTTAGCAACCCCTACCGGCCGCTCCTGCAAATGTCCCATCAACGCAGTGGGCGTGGGCTGTGTGGAGAGAGACGGCGGGTACTGAGATGAGGAGGCTGCTGCTCTGAGAGTTGACACTGTTTGGATTTTTCACCACAAATTAGGAGCCACTCAGCATTACTAAACTATAGCTGCTGAAAATGCCACTGAAAACCAGAGGAGAACTTACTGTGCCTTTTTTTTATTGCTCAGTGTTATGCTTATCTACATTTTTACATCTCCCTTTGTAAAATCACGAGAATTGTAAATATAAACACTATTATGTTTCTTTTCCTGAGTGCACATAAACTGAGAATAAAGCTCAAGGGATACATCATTTAATGTGAAATTCATCACAGCAATGCATGACATCATCTCGTGTCAGTCGTGTTACACTGAGGTCTGCTTGAATTAGTTTATCTTGTGGAAGTATTACTGTTGAATTTAGGACTAGTCTGTAAGAGCTGGTGGGATGAGTTTACATGTTGGGCAGCATAAGAATAAACATTTTTCTAACATGTTGGTCTCCTGTGTGTGGCTTTAGTGTAATTGTAGCGACGCCGTGTGTTAGATGAAGGTAATTACAAATACATTAGGCCAGGTGGAATTGGGCTGCCGCCGTAATAGATTTTCAATAGATTTTCATGTTATCTGCCATAGTTAAAACTAAACCACATTTATATTTAAATTATATTATATTAAAATATTCTTTAGGAGTTATGTTTGTGGATCTTTTGATTTAATATGAAATGATCTCAATTATGTTCAACTCCTTTCAGGTTTCGGCGTATATATTTCCCACATTATAACTTATTGCCGATTCAGTATATTGAACTTTACTTGGCAACTTGAAGAAGTGAAACGTTACACGGGGTGATTTAATTTCCCTGGACAAAGGACCAGCCCGATCATGTTCATTAGCCAATTTAGCCTAATAGTAGCCTAATACTGAAACGTGTCACCTGCCTTCAGGTGCTGAAAGAGAAGCATCTCTACATGGTCCTCACATGGCCTGCTGCCAAATTGCAATGTGGCAATGGATGACGTTTCTGCTTTGTTGCTATAATGGAAGAAAATGCTGCCACCCCCAAGCCTGTACTATGGTGCTGCAAAAAGGGAGACACGCTCCTACGTCAGTGGTGCATTGACGGGCTCTTGATAAACTCGGAATATTGTAGATGTTCTACGTGCGCTGCAATGAGGCAATCAGGAGGGCATAGCTATTAATTCTTACAAGATTTAGACTTTGAATGTGTAAACATTTGATATAAATTACATTAAAAATGATATGCAGTTTTGAAAGATTAAAGATATACAAAATAGGCTATCTAAAGATTATAAAAAGAGCAGAAAGTAATTCCTTCAAATATAATTAAATGTACGTGTATCTTTGTACAAACTGAGTAAAACTAGAAACACATGACGTTAAGGAAAGGCTTTGGACTTTATAACAGCTATATACACACTGAGATTTGGGGATAACTATGTATATTGTTCGTTACAGTTTATATGTAGATATTGAATTATCTCAAATGGCCCCAAATAGTGGGCAAATTGTTCATATTGATAAAAACAAGATTATGCTTATATTATTTACTAATGTCAGATTGGCCTGAAAGGATATAAACTTCTTTGGATTGAAACATGCAATGGGTTAGGGCGGTTAGCCTGGGACTTTTTTAATTGTTCTTTTTCGTTACCAGTATTGATGATGAGGCTGCTTACATGGATGTAAATGTTTTAACAAACGCACCATAATTCCTGGCCGGCTTTAATTGATTGGTGATTTAGTTGTGTGTTATCCAATGGGAAGGACAACAGCAGGGAGCGCTCGTGATTAATGATGAAAAAAAGGCCCTCCGTTTTGTCTGCGAAGATAACTTGTCCCTATCTCAACCATAACAAATGCATGTGTACACTGTACATACGTGGATAAATCCACCTTTAGATACATTATTATATAAATAAGAGACAGAGTCCTTGTATTATTTTGTACATGCTAAATTCACATTTTACGTTTTCTGTGTATCCTGCCAATTCATTAGCTGACTAAAAACTGTAATTTTCTTTATCTCGCGGACTAAAATACGATAATTGCAGGTCTAGTCGCTACCCTCTAACGAAAAAACACTAAGAAAACTTCAATCTAACGTTAGCAGCCAAGCATTGAACAGTAGGGTTATCGTATGGGACTGTCTGGCAGTCATCGCTGAGGGCAAAATCACACAGCAAAGTCAGTCTCTGCTGCACGAAGGCTAGCATTAGCTGGCTTTAATTTATGAGAAACGAAGGTATGTATGAAAATTAATTATTCACACTGTAAACTGGATATATTGAATGTGACAAAGATGCAGCTCAAGCCAGACGGTCTGCTCATGTTTGTAAAGACCGTTACATGTGTTTGTTTCTCTCTGCTACAGTTTTGACAGCTGCCTTACACAGTACGATGATGTGCATCAAAAGCTAACGTAATGATTGTATGCAGGAGAACTAAAATTACAGAAATTATGTTTTGTTCTTAATAACGGGTTGTAGAACCCATTATGTATAGCGGCTTTTAAGCCTATATGGTATTTATGCGAATATTATGGATAAAATAATTGAGCTTTCTGGTCGCTCCTTGCAGTCAAGCCAGGTAGAACAATAAACCCACCTATCGAGAAGCACTTTCAAAATAAAACATGAATTGCATCGTTTTCTCAACTGGGATATTAAAACGCATACAATGACTGTCTTGAATAAAACAATTCGTTTGTGTAACATAGGAAATATCAATCTTATAGGAATATAATGCAATTATTCCTCGCAATAATGGCTTGATGTTTTTAGGGAGTACATAAATGATTATTTCTCGTCTAATAAGTGTTCCTTGGATGGAATTGACTCTATATGAAAATAAAGTGTAGATCTGTATCTGTTTATGTTCATCACATATCTGTGATGTGTTAATGTGTATGCTTTAGGCTACTATCATTTGTAATTACATATTGTTGGCTTCAGTTTATAGTCATGCACCCCTCAAGGACCCTGCATTGTAATAGATTAATAACAAAAATACAATTTACAAAGGTATTCAAATATATAATAATTGTAATAGTGTGAGAAAAATGTTACTGCCTCCCAACTAAACACTTTTGAAAGCGATGTCATCCTCATTGTTAGTATGAGTATTGATCTAACTGAACTGTTTTTAGTAAAATTGTTTAGTAATATTACCGACTGACATGTTGGGTGCTTTTATTTTGAAAATACATTCCTATACCGGAAACGAGTTGCTTCCATCTTCCCGCGGAGTTGACGCATGTCCCGTGATACATAGCTAGCTTAGCTGAGAGTCTTGCTTAGCCCGTTTTGTTTTGGTAACGCTACACTGTCTAAAGCTTGCATGGAAGTTTCGGGTTCAAGTCAGGTTAAAGTGCGCCATAAACAACAGGCAGTCTCTCAGGGGGTGCGGGTAAAAGTGAAACAGGCTTTGCCAGCTATTTGTGTTTAGCTAACCATTGACACTTTATATCTTTCTGCAGAAGCACTGTTAAAAAGTGACAAAGCAGCGCAGTGAATCATGAATCTGCTATGAATGACTCAGGAGAACATTTGGGGCTTCGTTCGGTGCTGTCCGGGGCTCTTTCAGCCTCCTGGAGGATTGGAGAGGACACCAAAAGGATCATTTTGCCATTCCTGACTTCCTCATTGCCCTGACTGGTGCTGTACCTGCAGGTGTGGACGACATGGCCAGTCCACAGCAGACTGACCTGTCATTTGCGTGGGAGAAGTACATGGATTGTAGACTGCAAGGAGCGGATCTGCAGGTAGGTGCTGCTGTAGGAAGGAGGCTCAGATCAGGGGTCTTTTCTGGGTAGGGATACTTGTATTTAGTTTTCAGGGCTATACGTCAAAGGCAGTGGGGCAAAGAACTAAGTAAATGTACTCAAGTACCCTTTTGAAATATATGTAATTTATCTGAGTATTTCCATTGTATGCTACTTTATAATTTTACTCCACTACACCTCTACACTTGTTTGACGACCTCAGTTACTTTTGCAAGTTCACATACAAACGTTAAATCAACAAATACATTATGCTGTACTATTATGGATGGAGATATCTGGCAGTATAAAAAGGTTTCAATGTAATCTCATCCTTTATCGTCTGCAATATTAAAATAATATACGCATAAATGTATAATTTAGTTAAAAACAAGTGATATCATGTATGTTATTAATACCACCATTTTGGATAAAGAGTACTTTGAGATTTGGTAATTAAGTACAATGCGGGACTTTTAATTGTAACAGAGTATTTCTAAAGTGAGGTATTATTACTTTTACTTAAGTATAACATCTGAGTACTAAAGTTTAATTACTACTGCATCTAGAGGTAGTTGGGTGCTGGTGTCTATTAGATTTGCTTTATTCCATACAACCACTGAATTAATGATTTTATTTATCAGGAAATACGTAAGGGATATGTGGAGTTTAGATTGAGTTCAAAGCTTTTGTGTTTAGAGTATGTATATGTGTTTGTACTCTAACTAAAAACGCAACTAAATCTGGACCCCAAAATAGTTCACTTGAAACATATGTAGAGAAACTTGCAAGAAAACACAGATGCCTGTTTTTATAAGATGTCCTACTTATAATCATTGTAGATTTGAGGACCTATTTTGTTACAGAAATATATACATTTTAATAGGGAGGAAGTCACAGAGTAAAGAGTCATTCAGTACATGCCATTATGCAATTGTCAAAGGAGCAAAACAATTCTCCCTGGGCTAACCATCAATCCTGTAACTGTCCAGATGGCAATTGTAGAGCCAAAACTGAAACTGGTTCAGAGCAGAAGCACGAGCACGACTAGCAGTGAGTCACTGCACAGAGGTGGAGGCAGGTGTAAACCACAGATTGCTCATTATGAGTGTCGCGCAATAGCTTTTTGTGTCGGTGTGTTACAGAGTGAGAAGCAGTGGTTCTAAAAAATCTTTGTCAGGCCGCTGCAGCTCTTTTCTCCCCCCTCCCTCTGTCAGAGAACTAACAGCAGCCTGATCACGAGACTTGGATTAAGATCGGACTGCAGGCTGAGGGATATGACACACACACACACACACACACACACACACACACACACACACACACACACACACACACGCACACGCACACAGCCATTTTATTAGTCCATTACTTTGCATTCTTCATGTGTAAAATGTCCTTAAAAAATACAGAATTGCTACATTTTTTTAAAGGGTAATTAGTGTTGAGAGATTTATTTAAATGTTTGGAAAAAACGGCTTCCTTCTTCTGTAGTCAGCATGTCTGGGCTGCTCTGTGTATGCTTGCTTTTGTTAATCGTTGTGCTGGTTTTGTAAAAAAGCTGCTGTCCTGCTCTGTTATTTTTTGTTGTTGTCATAGTAATAGCAACGCTCGTACTGCACGAAGCAGTTTCTATTATTGGTAACTTTTTATGTCACTTTTTGTTGCAACAATTCCCTCTGGATAACTGTGTACGCTCCTCCACTTGTCACCTTTGCAGTGATCAAAGGGTCTGTGTGGGTGTGTGTGTGTGTGTCTGTGTGTGTGTGTGCATGAGATGCAGACAGTTGGTTATGTGAGCATAGCCCTGCTCCTCAGTTTGCTGATATAGCTTTCCCTCCTGATTGAATCTGAAGTAGAGACACAGCGACAGGCAATAGCACTCACATGGATACTGTTGCAGTGTATGCACATAATATTTCTCTCCAGCTAATTCTGCCATTCCCATCAAGGCACAAGTGTATATTTGTACCATCTGTGGCGTCTGCTAGTCAGTCATTGCAGTGGGTCTCTAGAGCATAGACTGTATATATAAAGGTCTAGAGGTAAACATGATAAAGTGATGATAGAAACTGTCCAATGACTGAAAGCCCATTGTTTTAACGCCCACCAAGGCAGCAAGACTCTTCCCTTTTGCTCTACATCTAATTCTTACAGTGAAAAGTGGTTTGCAAAAAGACACTTTCTCCTGCAGTAATCGATAAGATACCATAAAAAAAAAGTGTGGCATTACTGGAGCTGCAGACTTGCTCTTTCATCTGCATTTCTGTCTCTCATCTCTCTGCTTTTCATCTGCATTTCTATTCGGATAAATCTCTTGTAGGGGTGTGACTCTTTTGGTAGCTCACAATTCAATTAGTTTTTCATTTTGGGGGGCCCGATTCTATTCCAAATCAAGTCTCGATTTTTAGATTCTACTTGAGTCTGTCAATAATAAAGCCTGGGTAGAATTTAATGACATGAGAGCCAAGTAAATCGTGTGTACGATTTAAGGAGATTTTAAAATGCATATCGACTGATTGCAATAATGTAAACACACAAGGCCAAACTTAGACTAAAGCCAACATTTATTCACACTGAACTTGAGAAAAAATCTAATGCTTGAACCATAGTCTTCCTATTTTTCTTTCCTATGGCCTTTCTCAAGTAATACTTGTCTGAGAAATCCAAAATGGTATTTAAAACAATTGATTTTGTTCACTGCCACTAGTATTTTTTGGATCAAAGGAAACCATAGATTCAAAATTGGTTACAGCGGACTAAGATGGATCTGCTTAGCTCTGTTCATAATGGACAACATTGGTGCCATCTTCGTACATCCTTATTATATATTGACTAAACATCCTTCGATTACAGCATTTGGTGTGTTGAATCCACTATAATTATAATGTATTTAATGTATTAAAGTAAGCATATGTATGATGAGATTTCTGGCATTAAGCCTTCCTTGCCATTCTTTTTTGATGCAGCCAAGACTGCCGCACTAGTGATTTCAGCTATGAAGGAAATCTCCCTTGGAGGAACTTGCAGGGGGACTTTCCATTCTGACCGACCTCTCTGAATCCTGAGTCAATTTATTAGAATGGTTACCTGGCCAGGATCCAGGCAAGATAACAGGTTTTGTTGCTTGTGGAGATTTTAGTTTCATTATTAGCCAACAGGATGTTTCCAAACACAGCAGTGTGGTGTTTGGAACGGTTCACTTTTCTGGTTTTCTGGTACAAAGAGAGTCCAACTTTGCTGCCTCTGCTTCACTCTTATATCACTTTAAATTCAGCTCGATGTAGTCTTGCACTAACAGTCTGCAGAGGAATGGGACTCATCTTGTAAGTATGTTGTTCTGTCAATCCGTTTTTTTTAAATGTGCATTGTGCATACAACGTCTCTAACAACAGATACTTGTAGGTAAAGCCGCTTTCAACACGTTGTTTTCACATTGTGGTAAATCTCTGAATCCTTGTCTAAAGAAGATTAAACTTGTCAAACAAAGCATAAGGTGAAATGGGGTTATGGTTACAGCGCTGGGTTAGAGAACACTGCTCGGTGTACATTATTTCCTTGAATGGATTATATTAGAAACACTGTACACAATGTGTGTTTGTATGGCATTAAGATCAGCTTTAATGTACTCTGCTTATCAGCTTTAGCTTCAGCAATTATTGGAATTCACAACAGTGTTTCTATCATTTTTAACATCTGAGCAACTAAAAGCACAGGGAAGTGACAAAGTAATTGCTACATGAATGAGTCTCTTGTTGATGTCCTACAGCAGTCTAATTAAATGGAATTAGCGAATAACAGACTATTTCATTAAATTCAGTACAATGATGACTTGATGATCTAATTGTGTCATTGTATAATTTAATAGAAACTAGTTCAGCTAGGTTAACACGTGATTTATTTGAATCATGTATTTTGCTTCAATATATGGTTAGCATAACTTGAACTACTTTAGTCAAGTTAAATACAAATGGAACAGGTCATTGGGATAATCCCCAACAACTAGAAACTACAACAATTCCAAATCAACCTTTTTCCCATCTCTGCGTTACCGTTTTTATCCATCCGTAAAAATATGCCTTTCCTTGCATTGAACATTAAGGGCTCAACAGTATATTTTAACCAAACTCAAAGGCCAACGGGCCAGGTCCAACCCCTTGCTAATTTTTTGATCTTGGTTCTTAATACTCTTTCGGCTCGATTAGCTTACGCAGAACTTTCATCAAAGAAAAATGGTCTGGGGGCCGGAAATAGGTGTTCGTATTACTAAGTAGCATGCCAACATTTTTGGGAAATTCGAGATTTGCGTGCAAAGTTTATTTGTAATTTTGTTTAGGGTTTTATCGCATAAGATTGCAAGCCAGTAGGTTTAGCTGTATGGAACATATGAAGGATATGATCAACACATTTTATTTTACTTTTTAAATGTCACACACAACCAACGACTTGTCATATTCAGGCCTTTAAACCAGTTTCTGTGAGTTGCCTGTATGTTAGCAACTTGCTGACATGGAATCAAAACATGTTTTTATCATTTGATTAACTTAATGCTATGATGGTAATGAATCTTTAGTAGTGAATCTTTTTATTTGCACTATTTAACTTTATAGGTCTGACCCGTAATGTGATACGTCCTTGTCTGGCCCTTAGTGGAATTGAAATCGACCCACTGCGGTTGAAAATAATTGTAGAGAGAAATCAGTGTGGAAACAGGACATTAAGGCTCTGCAATATATATGAATTGACATACAGTACATTACCTGTCTTAGCAGTTGAGAATCTGAACTTATGGACACTTTTTTTATTAGGTTAGTAATATCCAAAGTAATTTAACACTCAAAAACCCACCAAAAAGAATGGAGCTGTCAACTATCACATGTTTTCAGTGTGAGTAATAACCTCAAGTGATGGGGAAGTTTCAAACCAAAAGGTCTTCTTTCATAACTTATTCACTTTAACCAGTGATAGTAAATCTCAAAATACCAATATATAAGTTTCAGACCTGTGAAAACAAACACTAGAATCACATGCCTGCTATATATAAAAATATCTGGCAACCTATAAGTGGGATGAAGGTTTCATTCCACAGTAAATTAAACACTTATTTTTTGTGAATTAACCATGACATGGCTCTGAGTAAAGTTCAAGTGCTGCTTCAAACATTAAAATCGTACAGTCAGGCTCTGTTCATGTAGTTGTGTGATCATCACACTCCTTTCCCCAAAGATTGTTGATGATTTTTTTTGCTTTATGCAGTGTGACTTTCATGATTTTTGTTATCTTGTTTACCATTTATTAAAGCGAAGTGGCTTACTCATGGACCACAGTGCTAGTTTCACATCTGCATTTATTGTTCCGTCTTCAGTTTCCACCTAACTCCTACTCGCTCTGCTCTCTAGGGCTCGGCTGAAGGGTTGAATAATTCATGTCTCTTGCTCCGGGTTGAGTCAGAGTCCAACTGCTGCTCCGTCTGTCTTTTTCCTCCCAGTTGCATGTTATGAGAGGTCAGATCTCTTCCTCAAAAACAGGTTCACTTGGGGAGAAAAACACCAGAACAGGCTGTTGGGATTAACATGTGACCAACAGCTTGAACTCTATTTCGCTGTGATGAAAACAATGAAACAGAGAGTGACACGTTTTCATTTCCTGCACAGTGGCTATGCTCGAAAAAAGGATCTGACACTGACAAGAAGCCAAGCATGTCCTAATGGGGGGGAAAGATATTTGTGCTGTTTAGCGAAGCGACTCGGCTCCCTGACTGCAGTTTGTGAGGAAATGCGGAACGTTAGGGACTCCTCATGATGCTCATCACCCAAATGTAAAATTGGATCAGTAGGGATCTTAAACCGGAAAAAAAACATTGCGTAACCAACGTCCCACGTCCTCTCTCACGAGGACAGGATCACATCGCTTTCACTGCCTCTGCCAAATTGAAGTCTACCCAATTATCCAAAGAGAGCTCGAGAGGAGAGGCTATACACGTGTGGGTGACTCAGCCATCAGACTCCCATGACTGGGCCTCCCATGATTGCTATGTTGGATGAAGGCAGTATAAAAGTCACAGGTCATGGCGACAACATCCGAGCAATTACGGGAACTTCGGTCGGGGTTACAGTATTCCATCATGTAAAGCCACTCTTTGACAAAAGAGGAAGACAACACAGATTTTAGAAGGAATTTCACTGTACCAGAAATGTACTTCACAATACCAACGGTGAAATTACATGATTCTCGATACGCTAGTTCAGGGGTGCCCAATACGTCGATTGCATTGAAAAAAAATTAAGAAAAAAGAAGAAAAGTTAGCCTTACTATGGCATTTGCCCCACTTGATTGCCCCACTTGATTGACGTACAGCTAAGCCAGTCTGAGTTGTATTGTGCCAGACAGGTTCATGCAGTTATGAGGGGGCCTCACCTCATCTGAAGCGCAAATGTGGCACACTATTATGCGCTTATGCGGCGCAATTAGTGTGAATGCGCCACAGTTTATCCGCCGTTTAGTCCACTAGCACCCCCCCCCCCCCTCCCGCGCTCGCGACACAGATGGGCAGGGGCGGCCCTGTAGGTAGATCTTTTGGGCTTAGTCATTTTAAAAGTAGCTCCAAAGCTGAAAAAGTGTGGCCACCCCTGCCCTAGTTAATACCAAGGTAAAAAACAAAACAATAAATCCACAGTACTTCAACATGCACTCCCTTATTACCTTTTGCCTACTCTTTTTTGTTATTAGACCAGTCACAATAATGATAAACTGTACCTTTTGCTCAATCAGAGATGTAATACGGTTTCCTGATAAAGCTGTGGAGAGTATGTGCTGCAGGGAGGTGGATGCACAACGCACCCAGGAACGAACGCTAGCTCCGGTCCTTTTCCCGTGAGGGAAACTGTGGACTTGATGTCCTGACAGGCTGGTATTTGTGCAACCTGCACTAACACAATACTGCACCATGATTACAAATGGCGAAATACAATGTAAAACTACCGAAAAATACCAGCTCACTAAAACACAACCGCTCAACTCAACGCAACTACTAACTATACCCGCGGTCAGAGAGCGGAGATGTTTACACTTTGTGATGTAATTTGACGTATGACCTTAAAAAAAAGCCGTTTTTAAGAGCAGAGCTCAAAATTGCTCCTTTCCCTCTGAATTCCTGCCCTTATGTCTCGTAAAACATATCAAATCCTACATTCACTTTTTTAATTGTAATTTTCAAGCAAGTTTAAGCATAAATGTAGAAAGAAAAAAAAACTGCAAGATGCTCTTTAAGGAGTAGTGCAGGAATGAGTCCAAAAACCTGTGGCATCTAGAAGATTTTTGGAACGTGTGTTTGTTTAGATGCCTGAAATAAGGTTTGTGGTTAACACAAGCTGAAGAGATTTTATGTTTGGTTCTATGACATAAAATAATGGAAATGGAAAATCCCATTGCTTTGTGTAAAGGGAGCCCCCTACCAGGTCATCCTACACACATACAACATCACTGCACTATACTTTAAATATAATTGGTATGTTTCACCAATGGGATACTGTTTCATCATGAACTCAAACATATGCTAACTTCCATGCTCGCCTTTGAAAATATGTCCTCCCTGCACCACTGTTCTTGATCAAAAAACATTTGTGTTCTTGCTCCAGGACATTTCAACAAGTGTACAGGAGCAGCCGTGGAAAGGGGTCTCCTAAATTCCATTAATTAGTTAGCTAATCAAAAATGACTTCTCTTACTTCAAACAACTGATATCTAAGAACTGTTTGGCTGTACTATGAAGCACTTTCTATAAACAAGGAATCAGATTAGATCGAATTCCCTCTTGTTAATTAACCATGTATAAAGGTCTTTATCCCAGCAGAAATCAAGCACATTACAAAGGCCAAATGTCAAAAGTAGGGATGCTCCGATCGCCAATTTTGGGGCCGATTGCCCGAATCGGTATCGGCCGATATCGATCGCCTGATCCGATTGAGTGGTTGTGGCCTAAATGGAAGATTTAAACATCACTTTAAATCTTCCATTTGAAGTTATGTTTAAAACTCAGTTAATGGGGCTCATTCACTGGCGCTTCCATAAAACAACAACCAACATAATTATTACATTCAAATGCTCTCCTGACAGCCTGTCAGTATCGTCTCATGCAGCTCACAGATCAAGACCCGACAGTGAAGAATAAACAATTATAACTAGTTGAGCTTGTGAGGTAGATCAAATAGCTAAGTGTGTAAGGTCTAACTCTTGTGTGTTTCGCTCCGCTTACCGGTCCGTCACAGCGGGTGGAGCTGCAGGATTTCTGCTTCACACACGTTGCATACCGCTATTTTATTGTCATTTTCTGACGGGTGAAGACATTTTGGCGAGCTTGTTTTGCCGCGCACAGAGAAAAGTGTCATTTATTTTACTTCATCATTTTACGTCATGCGATCGGCTCTCGCGAGCCGGGGGGACCGGGGTGGTTGGTAGAGGATGAGGAGGTCAGTGAGGTAGGGGGGGGCCAGATGGTGGAGGGCTTTGTAAGTGAGGACCAGATCATTGGCAGTGAATGTTCATTATATAAAAGCCTTTATGAATGATAGAATTGTGAATTAGAAATTAAGTTATAGGTGCATTATAGTTTCAAACATTGTATGTTGAAATCACTTCAGTATCAGTGACGGCCTCACAAAAAGGTACGCACACCCACACAGAAGCAGATTGAGTTGTAGTTCCTAAATTGCCTGAAGTACATTATTCAAGTTTACATTAACTTTCGATAATAACACGGGAGAAATNCGAGCAAGTTTTCTCTGGAGTCTGATGTCCTCTATCCTGGCATGTGCACCTGTGAGGCGAGTTCACGGACTGGGCCCCGCTATTCCAGTCTAGAGATGTCTAGAGACATCTCTAGACTGGAATAGCGGGGCCCAGTCCGTGAACTCGCCTCACAGGTGCACATGCCAGGATAGAGGACATCAGACTCCAGAGAAAACTTGCTCGAGTCCGAGTCCAAGTCAGAGCGTCAATGTACAAGTCGAGTCCGAGTCATCGTGGGGGGAAAAATTGCACGAGTCCGAGTCCAAGTCAGAGCGTCAATGTACAAGTCGAGTCCGAGTCATCGTGGGGGGAAACATTCACGAGTCCGAGTCCAAGTCAGCGTACGCGAGAATTCACGAGTCCAAGTCGCGTCAATCAGTGCGCGAGTCCGAGTCGAGTCCCGAAAATCGGCACTCGAGTCCGAGTCCAGGACTCGAGTAGCTACTCCATCTCTGCAAGACACCACACTTTTTTAAAGTGGTGAATTGGCAAGTACTCCTTTTTATATAGTCTTTTACGAGTTAATATTAAACATACATTGCTGCTATTTAATTTGTACACATTTTATAATTAATAATATTTGAAAGAACTGTAACATCTATTTTTTACAGCAAATTACTGCTACAACACATAATCTTCTTAAGATGTTTTGACCCTTTTGTTTAGGCTACCAATAAAAGTAGGCAGTGTATACAGTAGCCTATGGATTTGTTGTAAATAATGTTTACTACCTCCAGTGTTGAATTATGTAGATTTTGTATGTAATACTACGTTTCAATCACCTTAATAAAATGAAAGTAAACTCATAGCTCTGAGATGCGCTCGTGGCGGTGGGAAGCTCCATCACAGGGTTAAAGGTACAGTAGCTTGCGTCAGCTGATGCGTCGCGTCACGTAAGGAGCGGGAGGGGTGGAGGCTGGTCCGGTCCTCCTGCACTGACGGAGCTCCTAGCTGCAGCCCGGATCAGCTTCCTGCCCTCTGCCGCTGACAAACAGCTCATTCTCATCTACCCTGATCATGTGCCTCGCTCTTTGGCTGTCTCAGGCTCCGCAGCAGGAAGTTAGCCTTGTTTTCTTCCCCTTGCCTTTTTTTCCATCCTCAACTTGACAGCAGCGTTCGCACTAGTATTTCCTCTTTTTCTATCTTTCGTTTTATAACCTCCACTCCGCGGGACGCTCTGTGACGACAGACACCCGACGGCTAACCCCGACATAGAGTCCCCCTCCACGCCGCTCCCTCCTCCCCAGGCCAGGGAGAGCAGGTTCATGGAGGCCCAGGCGGAGGAGAAGGAGCTGCAGTCACCGATGGACAAGTCGCAGCCTCTGCCTACCTTGAGCCCGGCAGTCCCCCCCTTCGTCACTTTGGGCCTGACGGTGGTGTACACCGTCTTCTACTCCCTTCTCTTCATCTTCATCTACGTGCAGCTCTGGCTGGTCCTGCGGTACCGACACAAGCGCTTCAGCTACCAGACCGTGTTCCTGTCGCTGTGCCTGCTGTGGTCGGCCCTGCGAACCGTCCTCTTCTCCTTCTACTTCAAAAACTTTGTCACAGCTAACACTTTGGGGCCCTTTCCCTTCTGGCTGCTGTACTGCTTCCCTGTCTGCCTCCAGTTCTTCACCCTCAGTCTCATGAACCTTTACTTCGCACAGGTGAGTTAATTAGCAGCTAGTGACAGCTGACAGCAGCTAGTGACAGCAGTGCGTCACTAGTCTGCACGTTCTCTGTCATGGCAGAACAGCATTTTTATAATGGAGTACCAAAAAGTTCGGATTGAAAGTCCCCCTCGACTCAAACCCTTTGTATGTGTGTTGCCTCACATTCATGTTGGTGCTGCAGATTGATGTATGTACTGAGTTTGACACTAGAAGAGGTTTCTTTAACTTAAATATCTATTTGGAAACATCCACTGCACCTTACAATGCTAGCAATTCAACTTCAACATGTTTAATAATACATATTCATGGTTTTAGTTTTTCAAACAATGCCACACAAGGAAATGAAATTAAAGATACATCTACTATTTTTTTAAAATTATTATTAAATATTATTCCAGAGTAATGTATCTGCCATACTATCTTTAAACATACCATCATGTGAATTATTGCCTGAAACCAAAATACAACATGGTTTTTGTATATATACACTTTGAATAACTTCTACTTAACTTGATCATTATATTCTCAAGAAAGGTTTGGTCCCACGCTGTCTGATCTCAATGAGATCTGTAAAACAAGACCTTTAACTTTTAATCTGTGAAACCAAACTTTAACTAGTTAAATAACTCTTTAATTACACTTTCTCGTTGAATAAGAGAGTTTAGCATTTAAAGAGTTCATCAAATCCATAATATGATATAATAGATAGCAACACTAATTTATCTCCCTACCTGCTGCTTTGAATAATGACAATATTAATAATCACTGATATCAAATATGGCTAGAACCCTATTATCACTGTCAACATAATATTGCCTATTGATGTAAAAGATACACTCATTTTGATTAGCTAAGCAGCAAATAGTTCCTTCATCTGCATACTCGATACAAATATCAAATAATGACTCCTCTGCCCTCTAAGTTTATTTCAAGCCTAATCATTTTTTGCTGATTTGAGTCCCAGTTGTGAGTTGAGAGTGAGCAACTCATAAGTATCACAGTAAATGTTCCTGTGTGCTGTGAGACTATTGTGTATCCCAAACAACTTCCTGTTTCAGAAGAATGTGTCTTGTGTTTCTTTAAAATGTGAGAATACAGAAGTGAAAATGAGTGGCCTAAATAACATGACACATTTTGCATAATGACACTGAAATGATTTTTGTTTTCACAGGTTGTTTTCAAGGCAAAGTCAAAATATGCACCAGAGCTTTTGAGATACAGGTAACATGCATTTACAACTCTTAATTTTCCCTTTTAATTATATTACTAGCTTGGCTACAGTACTAAAAACATGTCTCATGACCCACAGGCTGCCGCTGTACCTGCTCTTCCTGTTCATCAGCCTTGTGTTCTTAGTAGTGAATTTGGTGTGTGCCCTGCTGGTGAGGATGTCCTCTGCAGAAGCCCACACCCTCGTGCTTGTGAGGGTCGCCATCAATGACACACTGTTTGTCCTGTGTGCCGTGTCGCTCTCCTTGTGTCTTTACAAGCTCGCTAAGATGTCCCTGGCCAACATATACTTGGAGTCAAAAGTAAGACATAGGCCTACTACTCAAGGGAAAGACATGTGTGAAAAGTAAGATATAATTAGTAGATTAACCCTCTAGGATCAACAGAAAGTGATTTGTGTAAGTGGCATTACAATGTATTGTCCACAGCTAATAATAGCACACTTGAGTGAAGATGCACTTCTTTACCTAATCCTGCTTTGTACACAGTCAGTTTCCTAGCAACACAGTGTTATGCAAGATTGGTTTTACTTCACGACAAAATAAAAGGTCACGCCCTTAATATTCAAAATGTATTGCAGCTATCTTTACCCTCAGGTACCATGTCGTTTCTGTAAGATTAAACCAATGTTCCCTTGATGAAACTCTTCAAACCTCACAGGGGACGTCGGTGTGCCAGGTGACGGTCATAGGAGCCATCGTCATCCTCCTGTACTCGTCCAGGGCCTGCTACAATCTGGTCGTCCTGGGACTCTCAAGCAAGAGCATTAGCTCTTTTGACTACGACTGGTACAACGTTTCAGACCAGGTGAACCACCAGAGGTCAAATGCCTTTAGATGTATGAGTTAATGTAAAAAGAAAATGCTTTTTCCGAGAGCATTGGTTGACTAATTTATTTGGCTGTTATCGCAGAAAGCTGAAAAATTTGTTTAATCTTTGTTTTCCTTGTGATGGTTGCAATCAAGCTATACAGTAATTCTCCATGTGAGGGTAAAATAGTTGGCTGTTTAAATAGTGGATGTGTTTTTGTTCCACAGGCAGACTTACAGTCGACTCTGGGCGACACTGGCTACATCGTCTTTGGGGTGATCTTGTTTGTATGGGAGCTGCTGCCCACTACTCTCTTGGTTTTCTTCTTCAGAGTTCGGCAGCCTGACCTAGACAGGGTGAGTCAAGCAAATACACTTTGCCCCGCAGTGGAAATGCGCCATAAGTCAGCAGTTTACAACATGAGGGTCAGGGGTCACAAGATAAATCTGAGGGGACATAAGATAATATATAGGAAAGCAGATAAAACACGCTGTTGTTCAACTACACGGAATGTCTGTTTCTGTCCAGTAAAAATATGAAAGATAATAAAAAAACATAAACATTTTTGCCATGAGGTTAGAAATGATGTGATGTACAGTCCAAAGTTTAAGTAATGTAAGACTACTTACATTTATATTCTTATTTGCCTGCGGCTTGTCCTGCAGAGTGGCTCTGGGCTTCCCGGTCATGGCTTCTCCTCCAGGGCTTACTTCTTCGACAACCCCCGGCGTTATGACAGCGACGAGGACCTGGCGTGGAGCGTAATGCCTCAGAACATCCAAGCAAGGTAAAAGCACCACGATGTAACCACCAAAATAATACAGGAAGTAGAATTGTAGCAAAGGGTAGAGGTCAAATGACACTTGTTTGTTAATTGGATTCTGTAGTTTGGCTGCTGACAGTTACGAGTGGGGGAGCCAGAGCAGCAGCGGCATTGGCGCCTACATCGGAGGAGACGACACTTATCCCCCCCTACCTCCTCCTGAGGAGCTCAGCCATTACTGACCGGAGATCCCAGTGACTCCTGCTGGCCTGTGGCTTTGTATATTTTTGCACAGTTTCTCTTGTTGAAGAGGCGCATGGGGCCAAAAGTCGCTGTTTACTCGATGCATTCAGTCTTCTATTTTGTCAAGAGAAGAAGAACGAACAGACTTTTCTGCCAGTATATAAAAAGGTCCACTGATGGGATGCTAATTTTGCACACTCTTTGTATAATGTGAGCTAATGTTGACTGCATTTAAACCTTTTCATTGTATAGTTTATATTGAATACTGCTTAATATATTTCCTGACTTTTGTAATACGTACTTTCTTACTATTTCATGTACTGTATTTTTTTTTCATACAGATGTGTTTATATAGAGTTTTAATTCATATTAAAGACAGTTAAAATGCAGCGCAAGATGCGGTTCAATTTGAAGAATACACCAATACTTTGATACCACTGCTCGTTTTCATACGTTGCTCTACAGAATATTATTGCTGACCTGAATCATGGATCACACCACGCTTAATTATGAATGAACACTACTTAATGTTAAATCATCTATATAATTAAGACAGACTAGTTAGAACAAACATACAGGTTCTTGGGCTTTTCAGTATTTGTCCTTAAACCACCAGCTGTTATTAAGGACAGCTAGAACATTGTAGTTACATTAATACTCAATCAGTAAAAGTAACATTTATTATATTTGTGTGCAGAAGACGACTAGCAGGCCTGATATGTTTGGCACTTCTCCCCATTTTATTGATGAGCCTTTTTAAAAAGATTAAAGCACTAAATATATAATTTAGCCATAAACTTAAAGCCATTATGCTTTCAAAAAATAAAAATAACCTATTGCCCATTTACAATATTGGAACGTTCTCACTGTGTACTTATATAAAGGGATCCTAATATTTTGGGTGTTTCGCTTTCCTGTAGTGTGTCAGGTAGGTTTTTGTGCATGTCAATAGTTTGCAAAGGCAAACAAATTGCCAAAGTCCCACACACTCCCCCCTGCCTGAAACACCTCCATTGTAGTCCTTTGTTTACCTCTGTAACAGTGACATCCCTACGCAACAGCGGCACTACTATTGGCTAGCGCTCCAACAAAATGTATGTTTATGTTTACATTAAAGCATGGAAACATTTCACAGTACAAGCCCAAAATACAAATATGAATGTGAAAATGAGCATAATAGGGCCTTAAAGTTTGAGGTTGTCATGGAAAATACTTTGTTACATGCTATATTCTTTTAAGCAGTGAAAACAACCTGGAAGGTAATACTTGGGGATTAAGACACTTGAATTGATTTTATGCTGAAGTCTTATTTCTCACCTCTCAGTGTGAATAATCTTATTTATGCTGGGGTCCAGAAAATCAGTAATCAGCAATTCACTGTAGGCCTGCAGGAGGCAGCATTTTACTGCATATAGTGCAAACAGGACAACATGAGAGGCAGGTGAATGCTGCTCCTTAAATCTGTGCTTACTCAAATGATTTGTTATTAAGAGAGTAGCCAAAACAAAACCGAAAATCACACTTAACCTCTTTTGTGAAATGATTGAATTTGAACTAAGACCAAACAATTTCAGTCAGAAAAAGCGTGTTTTTAATTCAGATCATTCCTCATATTATTGCAGCCTCAAGTACAACTTTGCAATACTGTAGCTCATAACAGCTGATTCCATGTGAAAAGCATACCACGATAAGCATATGCAGAACACTGTACCTTTAGGAATTAACTGTAAAAACCAATATGCAAAAGGTGTAGATTCTCTGGGAGCTTAACCCCCGTTGATTTTATGAAAATGTCAGCTGTAACGTAAGCGCTCTCTCCAACGAAGAGGTGAAAGGGAAATAAAAACAAAAACACACAATCCCTTTCAGTACAATGTCATGACATTCAAGGTCCTCTGGGCTGCCCCGGTTTGCTGAAAACAAGCAGAAATCATTGTTTTTGTTTGTTTTGTCTCCATAAAAATGGTTCTTCCACACTCTCGTGCAAAAAGTCTGCTGTTGCCATGTAAAACACACACACATGCTCTCTATAGGCCACTTTCTTCGAACAGAGCACTTAACGGCTGTTGGTATGCAGGCTTCCCACTAGCTGGGGTCTGAGGGTTTGCCAAGTTCAACCTTTACTCCTTTCTCTCCTGCACCTACACAGAGGAAACACACAAATATGAGACGTTATATACAAATAAAATAGAAACAGGGTTGTGTAGTTTAGACTAAGGAGGTCACAAGAACAGATATTTAGCTACAAAATTGATGCCAATGATATAAAAAGTGATGTTACAGTAAAAATCCTTAGTACCATCATCCCGGACAGTGAACTCACCATTGACACTTTTCCCCCCTGATAATGCTACTGTGTACAACTAATCTGTGTTGAAATGGGCAGGAGGAAAGCTAGCTAACCTTAGCCGTTAGCAGCAGGTGAGGTTCCATAGAGTTGCATTATGGTCCATTCACGCTTTATTCAGTAAATTTTTTTTTTGCTAAGTTATAAAAGTATCATAATGTGTTACATCTTAGTCTTGTAAATCACAGGTTTTGTCAAGTCGTTTGGAAAAAGAAACATTCACAGAAATAAAAAAAGGTTTATTAGAGAGGGTTTTATAACCTTTCAGCTTGCTAACAGGAACTAGTATGTAAACAATCAAAAAAGGAGTGTATTTACAGTGCATGACATTAAGGATTTTGGGAGATGGCCCTGTGGGCCATCTAAGCTAATTTACAGATGGCCCTGAGCCCAATAGAGACTGCCCTGAAAAATGCGCGCTGACGAAATGACGCACAAAGGGTTTGGGGGGCCTTCCCTAGAACATTTAGATTGTTGCAGGTCTTATGCTGTCTGGTGCATTCTCTAGACTGAATTATAAGATGAACNAGATACTGTTATGAAGGCTCTGAAGCAACAGAGAGATGTTTTTTCTATAAATAAGCAATACAGGGATTTTCAAAACAATGTTCTTTGAAGTACTTGAAGATATTTGAGTGTTTTTACTTAAAAAACAAGTGTTTTTTAGTTTACAGAGTCTTACCTACGCTATTGGCTACCTGAATTCTGAAATGGTACTAGTATTCCCCTAAATATGCTATTTCCCTCACCCCACTTATGGCAAAAATTGCACTTTTCTGTTTGGTCTTTGGTTAAGTTACCACACTTGAAAAAAATAAACAATGTTTTGTTTGCGTGAAGCTTATGTTATTCCAGCTCATTATTCACATGGTATACTACATAATCCATGTGAAAAAAAATTGCTTCTCACTGTTCTCAGGCTCAACATAATTTATATGCTGATTACAAAAAGGTGACATTAATTGTGGATTAAATCATAATTACCAAAGCCTCTGTAATTAATTTAGATTAACTTTTTTTTTAATTCGAGTCCCGGCCCTAATAAATATATGTGTGTGTGTATACTGTCCCGAATCTGTAGCGCTGTTATTGGAAAAACTCATTGATACCGCACTTGTCAAATGAATCTAAAAGTAAATCTATATATGCCAGTCGTCATGAACACACTCTGTCCATCAGGGGAGTGCGTGCTGTGCCTCTGTCATCATTAATTGGACGTCTCTTTAAAATGACCCGCTCAGAGGAGAGGAGTTCTCATTTCTCTAACCGCTCGCTGCTTCACTTCCCTCCTTCTCCTCGTTCCCCCTCCCTCAGTGTTCCGCTCGCCATCTCCTGTGGGGCGGCACCAAGTCTCGAAGGAGAGGAGTAGAGGGATAGAGTCGAGGAGGAAATTTGAGTATGAGAAACCTCTTTTGAAACATCTCTGTTCCGGAAATGCATCCACGAAGGAGCCGTGGAGACCCATCAGTGTATCCTCGGTTATAGAGCTCCCTCCAGAGAGCCTCCTCGACGCTCGATCCTCGAAGTGCATTTAGAGAAATTAGATGTCCTTCAACATGGCGCGCTGAAATTCATTTCCGGGTCACTACCGGAGGACCGAGGAGTCGAGGAGTTGAGGAGGGGGATTTGATGAAATGAGAAAGGGCCGAGATCTCTCTCTCCCCCGTCTGTGTGCGAGGGGGCGGGGCAGTTTACACACACTCGGCCGCTACATGCAGCAACACACGGCGGGGATGGCGGAGAGAAGCGCTCCAAGGTGTGGTTAAATGTTACCCGTCTTGAGGTGGACAATGCTCGTTTAGCATGTAAGGGCGGTAACACGAGCAATTTGTCTAAACATTTAGCAAAAGTGCACCACATTCAGACGGAGGAATTCACCGGGTTCGACTGTCTTTCTAGTAGCTCTGTAGCCCCATCCACGAGTAACGTTTCCACGTCAGGTATTATGCTAGCAGCAACACACGGAGTTAACTACATTGTACAAACATGGGTGAATGATTAGAGGTAACAGAGTTACTCTTTATTTTGTTAAAGTTTCAGCTACAGTGCATGACATTAAGGATTTTGGGAGATGGCCCTCTGGGCCATCTAAGCTAATTTAAAGATGGCCCTGAGCCCAATAGAGACTGCCCTGAAAAATGCGCGCTGACGAAATGACGCACAAAGGGTTTGGGGGGCCTTCCCTAGAACATTTAGATTGTTGCAGGTCTTATGCTGTCTGGTGCATTCTCTAGACTGAATTATAAGATGAACCACCACAATACTATATTGTACAATTTCTATTTTATTCTTCATTTCACTTGTTTGTTTGTTCTTGTTTGTTTTTGTTCGCTTGCATGCCCTGCATAGCTATAAGAAATACTTAAGTTGTTGGTCAAGAGTCAAAACACTTTCCATCTGATGAAGGCAAATGCCTTCCCAGATGTAAAAAAGTAGAAAACATTACATTCACTTATAACTGCCAAAACAAACATTATTTACACTATTATGGCTCCTGTTAAAAATGTTTGTAATGTTATCTACTGTAAGTTGGTCGAACGAATGCCTCCTCATCCGGAAGCTGACCGAGCAGCAGTCGAGAGGAGCCGAGCGCATCTGCGAAGCACACAAAATGGCGACGTCAGAGTTCCCGTTAGCCGCAAATCTAAATCTCTCCGGTCAAAATAATTTCCCTTTAGCGCAATACCGCTTCAGTTGCGCCACTTATGTGACAGACAACAAGAGTATGTGACAGACAAGAATAGTCAATTCTAATGTCTAACACTTAATGTGGAGAAAGAGATGTCCTTTATGGGTTGATTGTGCGTTGATCTGTTGGTAATGCCTCAGGGTTCCGGTGGGCATGTACACAAATGCATAATGCTGCGTTATACTTTGTGGCCTCACCCAGTTGCATAGCGACACTTATTGTTTAGATGTCTTTTAAATAAGCAGGTAGTCATATCATTAGCTAGAACTAGCTTGGATCTGATCAATATGGACATAAACGCGAGTGAAAGTCTAAATCTGACGGGAGAGAGAGATCAGCTGCTGCTGACGAGACGACACGCGACAGCTCTGCATGATCAAATGCAGTGGTGAGCGCGGAACAAAACACACACTTCAGGTTAGAATATCACACGTAGCTATTTTAATTACCTCTCAAACTACCTAAACTAGGTTTAGATATGTTTGTTTTACTGTCGGGTCATCTCATTACTGGGATCCGCGAGCTGCATGATACTGGGCATAATAGATTGCCCGAATCGGGCAACCAGCAGGTGAGGCTTCATTGCCTGGCTAATACTAGATGGCCCCGGGCCATCGGGCAGTCCTTAATGTCGAGCCCTGAGCTATTCTG